TTTTTTTTTTTTTTTTTTTTTTTTTTTTTTTTTTTTTTTTTTTTTTTTTTTTTTGTCAGCTTGTGTTATTTCAAACAGTCCATCTTCAAGTTCAGAGGTTCTCTCTTCAACTTCTGCAGGCCTGCTGGTTAAACTCTCCATTGTGTTTTTTATTTCGCTGAATAAATTCTTCAGTTCAGCAAGTTCTGCTACATTTTTTTTCATGGCATTGATTTCCTTGTACATATATTGTGTTCATTTTCACCATTTCTCCCCAATTTTAAAGACAAATAGTTTCAAATGGAACATGTATAATTAATCTGGGCAGAAGAGGCCCTTAGACAAGCCTCATGATTCACCTCAGTGGGTGTCATCTGTTTCGCAGCAGACTTCTGAACCCCTTGCATGTAAGTGGTGAGGATAGCGTTCCCATTGAGTGATACTTGCAATCTCTAGGAATTTTCCTTTGACCCTTTCAGCAATAGGTAAGTGTCTTTCTATGTACTTTGCAATACGAGCATGTGCCTCTATTATGAGAATGTGAAAAACCTCGGAAGGCAGGTTTAGCTCCGAAATTTCTTGCCACTTTACTGCTTCCCTTGATGACAAGAAATTTATTGAATGTTGAATAAATGCTTTATATATTCTTGCTGAATGAAATAATAAATACATATTATAGGAAAGTCCTGTGTCATTAATGAAATTTCACTACATACTACTACTAATAATTAATAATTCTAAGTTCAGTATGTATTTGTTTAAAATACTCAAATCTAAACAAGTTGGGAAATATGATTAGAAAGTGCCTTGACTGAATTACATTCCTGGTGTCAAGAGATTTGCTTAACTTGATCTTTTTCATCATGCAGGTCTCAGCTGATATGTCACTTCTTTGCAGAGGCTTTTCCTAACCACCCAACGTAAGTAGCTACTGTCACTCATTGTTTTTCACTATTTTCATATTTATTTTCTTTTCATCTATTTTATCACTATTTATTTATGATTACCTTCACTAGAATAAAAGATCGATGAAATTAAGACAATTTGTACTGGATAACTCAAGACCTAAAGTTGTGCCTATCACATTGTAGATATTTAATAAGCATCTATAAGATTAAATAATTAATAGGAAAGGGTTTCTGTAATTAAATGTTGGTGAAGATATCTACAATAGGAAGCTAGCTATTATTAGTATATTTAATTTTAAGATACTAATGACAGTAATAATAATGATAATTTTTTGGATGCCTATCCTATACAGGCTTTAATGTAGATCTATGTAAAGGTCTATTTAAAGATCGCTGTTACATCTATAATTATATAATTATCTTATGGCATTATTGTGCACATGTTAGAAATCAGGAATCCAATTTTCAGAGAGCATAATTGACCATTACAAGGGCACACAACCAATAAAATGACATCCATGATTTACATTTTATCCATCTGACTACATTTCTACACTATTTTTACTTGTTAAAGTAAACCATATGGGATATTTTCATTTTCTTCATATATTTTAGTTCAATTTAATTCCTAATCAGTTTCTTGGCAGTGGGTTCTGTTGCCTAATTTCATTGCTTACCTCTTTTCTGGTCAAAGCGCTATATTTGAGTATGGAGAATTTTTTTATACATTTATTTGAGTCAAAAATAGGACCTACTACATAGAAATTAATATAGTCTTTTTATACCAATTTTTTGTTATCATACCAGTAGTATATATTTTCCACATGTGACCTAGCCATGATGGGAATCCATTTAATGAGTTTTTGAATAAAGTCTGTTGATACCAGGAGAAAAAAATACATGATGGAGATTTTATTCCTAAGGAAATTGGCAAACCAGGCAGACATGTGGTTTTTTCAACAGAAGAAAATTTGAACAACCAGTTTGGTGTCCAACTGGGTTGCCCACTTGCTGAAGAACAAAATTGGCCTGAAGCTCCTCATTAGAATCAGACCTATAGGCTCCGTTCAGTGAGCCCACACTGGGGCTGTCAGCGATTTGGGAACAAGAGTCAATCAAGAGATCGCAAAAGAATTCCTGTATGCATATAACAATTTAGAGCACAGTTTTAAATGGTTCTTTGTATTTTTCAAAAATAAAATATTTTTGTTACTATTCACTGACAATCGTCCCTCCAAGTGGGAATCACTTCAGTTCATCACAATTAGACTTATCTTCTCCATGCATTTGAATGGAGTGTGCTAACTGCACTGGGTGGTAATTATCTGCCTGCCAAAAACGTTATTATAGATCATTAACATATATGTGGTTGCTTTATCTGGAACACCAATATTTTTAATGTACTGGAATAAAAGTGTTGCCTTTCTATCTTTTTATACAGTGACAAATGACACCAAACAGCATTTACAGATAATGTAAAACAATGCCGGCCCCAGGATTCCATGAACACATTCACGTTAGAAAAATAACACCTATTGTTGCATGACTCAAGTTATTTTAGAAAGATAAAAAGGCATTTAAAAATTTATTTTATGTCCCTGTGAAATTTTGCATTAAAGTTTTGGTTAACAATGTACAGGAAAATTAATTCCAAAATACCTCAAAGTATTGCTGTTTTATTTCTTCTAGTTTTATTGATTTTTTCCACATTTAACCTTTCGTTTTTATTTTATACTTGAAATATAGTTGATTATACAAATTGATGGGGTACAGAGTTGACTGTCAGGTTGTGTGTGCAATACGTGATTATTCAATCACTATTACAGCGTGCTTGTCATTACGAGTCATAATCATTCTTTGTGCCCATTACCCATTTTCTCCATAACCCCCGTCTCCCCCATCATTCCCACCCCTAGTGACCATAGATCTGTTCTTTCCTTCTGAAAGTTCAACATATTATTGTGGTCCGTCCTTCCTTCCTTCCTTCCTTCCTTCCTTCCTTCCTTCCTTCCTTCCTTCCTTCCTTCCATCCTTCCTTTTTTATTTCTTTCCTCCCACTTATGAGTGAGGACATGTGGTATTTCTCTTTCTGTGCCTGGCTTATTTCACTTAACATAATTTTCTCCGAGCTCATCCATGTTGCTGCAAATGTCAGAATTTCATTCTTTTTTATGGCAGAGTAGTGTTCCATTGTGTATATATTCCACAGTTTCCTTATCCAGCCATCCGTCAATGGACATTTAGGTTGGTTCATGTCTTGACTATTGTAATAGAGCTATGATGAACATGGGAGTGTGGGTTTCACTTGAACGTGATGATTTCCATTCCTTTGGGTATATACCCAGTAGTGGGATTGCTGGATCATATGGTAGTTCCGTCTCTAGTTGCCTGAGAAACCGCCATACTCTTTTCCATAATGGTTCCACTAAATTGCAGTCCTATCAACAATGTAAAGAGTTCCCTTCTCTCTGCATCCTCACCAGCATTTGTTATTCTCTTTCTTTTTGATAAGAGCCAGTCTAACTGGGGTGAGGCGATATCTCAATGTGGTTTTTTTCTTTTGCATTTCCCTGAGGCTGAGTGATGTTGAGCACTTTTTCTTGTAGTGTTGGCCATTTGTATGTCTTTCTTTGAGAAATATCTATTCAGGTCCTTTGCCCATTTTTTTAATCAGATATTTTGTGTTTTTACTGTTAGGTTGCTTGAGTTTCTTGTATATTCTGGATATTAATCCCTTGTCAGTTGTATGGTTTGCAATTTTTTTCTCCCATTCTGTAAGTTGTTATTTCACTCTGCTGATTCTTTCCTTTGAGGTGGAGAAGCTTTCTATTTCAATATAATCCCAATTGTCTATTTTTTTGTTGTTGCCCGTGCTTTTAGGGTCTTATTTATAAAGTCTTTGCCAAGTCCTACACCTTGAAGCATTTACCTATGTTTTCTTCTAGGAGTTTTATAGTTTTAGGTCATATACCTAAGTCTTTAATCCATTTTGAGTTGATTTTGATATGTGGCAAGATGTGCATGTCTGGTTTCACTCTTCTACACATGGATATCCAGATTTTACAGCACCATTCATTGTGGAGGCTGTCCTTGCCCCAGTGTATGTTCTTGCTGCCTTTGTCAGTTGATTTCTGGGTTCTCTATTCTATTCCATTGATCCATGTGTCTGTTTTTATGGCAGTACCATGCTGTTTTTGTTACTATGCTTTTGTAGTATAGTTTGAAGTCAGATAGTGTAATGCCTGTAGTTTTATTTATTTATTTACTTTTTCTCAAATTGCTTTGGATATTCGAGGTCTTTTATTATTCCATATGAATTTTAGGCTTTTTTTTTATTTCTGTGAAGAATGTCATTGGTATTTTGATGGTGATTGCACTGCATCTGCAGATCACTTTGGGTAGTATGGACACTTTCACATCATTAATTCTTCTAATCCATGAACATAGAATGTCTTTCCACCTCTTTAATGGGGGTCGGGTCAGCCCTAATATTGTCTATAGATGCTTAAGTGGGAGCATTGCTCCTGTCCACAATTTCTTCCCTGTGTAAACACAACCAATTCTTGGTTCATGTCTCCCCTGGAAGATTATTTCTATTTGTTGATCATGATCCTCTTCATTTAACTTACAACTAAATCATAAGAAAGAGTAGTGAACTGGTTTAATATTCTTGCTAGAGTTACAAACAAGTCTGTATATATTAAATGCAAGTTGTCTAACCTGTTTGCAGAAAGTTTTAAGAGATGAGCTATGTCTTTCTACACTGCATGTAAGTAGTCAGCATGTTCCCGGGTGAGACAGAAGGAATGAGGTGTAAAAACAAATGCTAGAGAAGGGGTGGAAAAACCACTGAGCTGCTTTGCTAGCTTGCCTTTATAGCAACTCCAGGATAATATTTAAAACAAAATAGAGGGATAAGCCTTACATGTCAAGGAGTGCCCATACAGTTGTTGGGATCTTATAGAAAAACAACATCTTGCTCCTTTCTATTGGCTCTGTAGTCAATTAACATATGTAGAAATTCACATAATCTCTCTGTGCCTTAGTGTCCTCATTAGTAAAATGGAGTTAATGATAATATTACTCATAGGACTGAAGCAAATGGTTAATGGCATCTGTGGTCAGCACCCAAGGATGTGTTCACTTGGCGAACTCGCATACGAATAAACAACCAAGAAATGTCAAGGATTGCAAACAATCCTTGAGAACATTTGAAGTTGTGAGAACACTTTCTTGGGATGTTCCATGAGGCGCATTACAGGTAACCAAGTGCTTGAGAAGGGAGGTAAGAGCCTTCTGCTCTTGAGAAAAGCATACCAGAATTTATGCGTTAATGCTTATCTCACATGCACAAGCTCGCTAAATGTAATAAAAGCTGTAACAGCAGCTGGGTCAGGGCTACTCACCTGAGAGAGCAGTGGCCCCCGCTCTTCACCTGTATCTCATCTGCTGTGTCTTCCTTCGTGTCTCCGATCATTTTAATCAACATAGGACTGCTGTCAGGATTTAAAGAGTTAATGAATAACCAGAGAAGGAAACACAAAGCTCAGGTTTACCTCCCCCACCCACCCAAAAATAATAATAATTAAATAAGTAAAGATTTACTAGGTGGATAGATGGACAGGTGGATGGACTTGGAAGTCTGAGCAAATGCTTTTTAGAAACTGGAGTATAAGCAGGTATGCAGGGCACCTTCCCTGTGTCCCGGGCATTTTATTCTAATATGTAATATCCACTAGAGCAGAGTTTTCAACTGAAAAATATAATCCATTGAAGACACACAATTTGGTTTTGTGGGTGAGAAGGAACATTTTTATAGTGGATTAGAAGACAGTTATACTAATTACTTGATTGTTAACAAATTAAGAGAAAAAAGACTTGATTTTATTTTAGTTATTTATTGCTTTAGAATAGATTGTAAAAAATGCATGTGGGTTGTACAACCACAATACCTTTAACCAAACATTGAAAAAAATTAAGCCAATGTTTAATATCATCAACTGCTTTGCCCA